GTTTCCGTTTTTAATTGTTTTTGCTCTTCCGTAAGTCTCTTTTTTCTGCTCGCTTTGCTTCTGCACGGCGGTCGTGCGACTCACCGCGGGCTGGACCGCGGCGCCGTGCCCGGTGTGGCCGCCGTGCTGCTTCCCTCCTGCCTCCTTCGCTGCGTGCGGGCGTGGCTGGTGATGTGCCTCTCTCTCCTTTCCTTTCCTTTCCTTTCTCTCTCTGTGTGTGCCTGTCTTTGGGTGCCGTCTGCCGCGGGCATGCCGTGCGCCCCGGCGTGTTCGTCTTCTTTTTGGCGACTGCGGCGGCGTGGGGATGTTTTTCGTTGCCCCAGCCGCGCGGGGAGGGGCTTGCCGATTCCCCCGCGTGTTTGTTTGGGTGCCTGCAGCGGCGCCGGGGGTAAAATGCGGAGCCCCAAACGCTGCTGCTCCGCCGCGTGTTTCTGCGGAGTGAACTCGTGCGGGCGCCGGACCGTGGCACTGGCGGGTTGAGGGTTGGGCCGACTGCGGGGACTGTGGCGGCTGCGGCAGCCCGTGCCCGGGCCCTGCTGATTTTTTGCGGTGCTCGGCGGCGGATGCATGCGGGCCGCTCGGGGCACGTGTTTGTTTTTTGCCCCGCACGTTTGTTTGTTGCGTTGCCCGCCACGCGGCGGCGGTGCTGGCGCCCCGCACGAAGAGGAGCTCGCAGCCGCCGCCCCGCAGGAAAAGACGCGGGCCGCGGCACGCACCGCCGGTCGGACGCGCGGCTTCCCCGCGGGCACCGTCACCCGCACCTTCGCGTGGCGGCGGGGGCACTTGGCTGCTCAACCGTCGCAGTGGGCGTCTCGTGCGGGTGCCGGACCGTCGCCTCCGCCGCCCCCCGCACGCGGCCTGCGCTGCCTCCCACTGCCGCGCCCGAAATCATCGCCGCCGTCGCTGTTTTTTTCTCCCCACACTTGTCTTCGCACACACACACACAACCGACGCGCACGCGATGCGCCTGTAGTGCCGTGCAGGTGGATGCCCTCTTTGCAGCCTGCGCTGGCAGTGCCGTGTGCGGCTACTGCTGCGGTTTCCTCGCGGGCCGTGAAGAGAAGGGAAGGAAAACGCACAGCACGAGGGGGAGTGCGCTGTGACTAACTCGTTTTCCTTGCGGGAGCCGCCTCATTTGGGTGGTGGCTGCGGTCCCACTTCCCGTGTGCATGTGCGTGTGGGGGCGGCTGCTCTTCGCTGCTCCGTCGTGGATGACTGCCGGTGCTGTGCGTCTTTCTTGCGTGTGTGGCTGCGTGGAGTTGCTCGGCTGCCGCCTTTTTTTTTGCGACCTGCTCTCTTCACTGTCTCCGCTGCACTCCCTCTCCATTCCTCTACTTCTCTTGCTTCCTGCGTCTTTTTCTCCGCTGACTTCAGCGACTCTGCCACTCTACGGCCACTACTACTACTTTTGCCGATGACGACGCTGGCGGTGCGGCGCCGTGCGGTGTGCGCCCTGGCGCTCCTTGCGCTGCTCTGCGGCTGCTGCTGCGCCTCCGTCTGCGGGGCGAATGCTGATGAGTCTCGGACGACCGGGGTTGTGAACGTGTTGGTGGATGTGTCGTGCCCGGCCACCGGCAACAAGTTGCGTTGGCGCGTTGCCGGCAAGGGGGATTCCGCTGCCTGGAGGGAGTGTCCGCAGACAGTGACGGGTGCGAAGAGCATTGAGGGCGATGCTGGCAGCAATTCCCTCTGCCTCATTGCCGGATCGGCGTACATTGACACGTCCCTGACGCGGAACTGCACTGCACCCCAGCCAGCAGGGGACACGAATAAAGTTGTTGCGTTCACGATGGACTGTACGGCGGCCGCAAACAGCGCGCTGCACAATCTGTCGAAGAGCGAAGATGGCACCCTCACCCTCAATCCAACGGACAATCCACTGGGCGTGTCAGGCGGTTGTGAGTACCCAACCTCCAGTCAAACCGCGGCTGAAGTGCAGCCAGAACCCCAATCTACAGAACAACAGCAGCCAGCAGGCCCACAACAACAACAACCGGCAAATGCAGCAGCAGCGTCATCTTCGGCGCGAACTAATGACGGAGACCGTGCGGGGAATGGGGGCTCCACTGCTACTGTTGCGGGGCAGCCAGACAGTGCGGAGGGAGGCGGAAGTCGGGAACCATCGCCAGAAGGTCCTCGGGAAACTACAACTCCATCGGTTGGCAATGCGGCTTCGTCCACACAGACGGCCGGCGACAGGGCAGCAGATGGAACGACGACGACGACCACCCGCAGTCCGAGTGCTGGGAGCCACGCGGACAGCAGTGCCCACATCGCCGCTGCGTGGGAGCGTGCCCCACTGCTGCTGCTGCTGCTCACGGCTGCCCTTGCCTGTGCTGCTGCGTAGGTGGTGAGGTGCTAAAGATACACAGACCCACACACCCTGGCAGGGACGACGCGTACGCTTTGTGCGCTCATTTTGCTTGTCGTCCCTGTGGGAAAATACTTCTCCCTCCTGTGCTA